CAAAACACTGAACAAAAAACTAAGAAATTTTATTTGCTTAATGAAGAGGGGTGGACTGACTAACAATTAGAGAGGATAAAGTCTTTGCAAGGCTATTGTAATTTATTAGATAATTCATTTTACTTTTCTTGACTTTGCTATTCTTTACAATTTCTTCAGCATTCAAATTTTTTTTCGATTACTTTTGAGGGTTCAATAGATTTTCAAGGTGTTTGCTTAAATTTTTATTCACTTGAGAAGGGTAGAAGCAGTAGAAAGGGTAGTGAATCACTACACATCTGTTGCAGCAATGATGCCCTCATTATTATTTTTCTTAATGGTTTAAAAGTTTTACCGCTAAAATATAATCTTTTTTAAGATTTTGGGTTTCATTCGAATTTTTTCTGGCTTTCTACTAGAACCTTATAAGCTAACAGTTTTTTTTAGACAAAGGTTACAGTCGCAATCATTTTCTTCAAATGATAAAAGTCGCAGACTTGAAGCTGTTACGTAAATTGAAAGTTTTACAAATACAGATCACTCTTTTTTTGTGGATAATTTTAATTAATATGCTGTAATGAAAACTTTGAAAAAACTCGCTTATTTTTCTTTCGCTTTTACATACCTCATCACAAGCCTTGGACTTTTTTTAACTTGTTCAATTTTTCTTAATTATTTGGTTTTTTCTTGACGGTTCTGTTTGAAGAGAGAAACATATAATGTTCAGTCGATTTTCGATGATTTGTGACATAGAAAATTAAATCAGAGTTTTGATGAACGTTTTAGTTCAACTGTTCGTTTACTACGGTTTTTCGTTCCTCAAATTATGGATAAAATGTGCTTATTCTTGTAGACTTTTATTTTCGTTTGTTAACTTTTCTTTACTAAATTTTTTTGGAGAAGTCCTGCTTGTTTGACTTCCTAGTTTTTTTTTTTTATTAGAATGAAGTGTGTAAACTAATTTTTTTTACTCAAATTTTGGTAAAGTGTTTTTTCAATTTCTGTTTTATTGGGCGGGTGATTGCTTATTCTGGGTAAAGAACATTGCCTGATAAATAACTAATATAGCTGTAAAATTGTAATGAAATGTTGCTCAAAATTTTAGTTAATAATTTTTGACTGTAACGAAAGAAATTGAATGAAGTTTTTGAGCCATCTGTTCTTCTCATAACTACCTTTCTGATTACCCTATGCAAGTCAGAAGCGGTATTTCAACAAGTAAAATATCAGTTACATATTTACAAGATGTGCTTGTTTGCAGATCTTTTGTAGTCAAAACTGTTGGTCCGGAAGCGTTAGCAATATCAACAAATCGACTGAAGACTACGCATAATCCGGAAACCGGTTTACTCAACGTAAAGTTACAATTACTACGAGTAGATAAAATTTTTGACGTCAACTAACTGCTTCTTTTTGAGTTTTTCAGTAAACTAGCAAACACTATATGCCGATTACTACTACCATTTTTAAAAACTGTTTCTAGAAGACTTTTTAAATTATTTTAGTTTAATTTTGTTTAAATAACAGTTTTTTTAAGCATTTGAAATTTCTTATAAAATATCAATTTTTGATTCAAATTGCTTTAGTAAAAAATGCAAAATATAGAGTATCTATTCGTATGAATTTAAGAATTTACTCTCAGCAATAATTTTATATAACAGTCCAAGAGATTTTTTTTCTTTACGCTTTGTCTCTCAAACTTTGTGCCAACATTGTTGAGGCATCATTTTCAGTCTTTAAAAACTGGATCTGTGTCAAACATTGAACTTAACCAAACTTTCGATGTTTATGAACAGAGTGGTGGCGGTGCTTATGTTATGCGGCTCTTTCAATCTTCTACTGTATAGTTTTTTTAATACTACAGCGTGTTTTTGCTTCAAAAATTTACTTAAACTTTCTGCTTCGAATCCTGAAGCATCACATATAAAAATAACATTCCTGAGAACTCTTTTGCTTAAATTTTAAAATGGGAAAGAAAAGCAAAAAAAAAAAGTTATGATGGCAAGAAAATAAGATAGTTTTGTTCTCAAAAACTTTCGAAACAGAAAAAAAGAATGTTAGCTCAATTCTTATTTTGAACCTTAAAAATGATACTTCTTCATCAGTTGCTTCAAACTATAAATATCTGTACATTTGCTTTGATATATCGAGATAACAGCACCAGATCTTTTTATTATATTTTTTAGAAACAACATTATTTTTTGCTAAATAATCTCATCGTTTAAAACTTAGTTTTTGATTTATTATATTCACTGTTGGTTTTACAGTTTTATCAATGCTTTCAGCTTCCTCATTCACAGCTATTTTTAAGCTATTGAAGACATCAAAATGCTCGACTGATTTTAATCTTTTAGCCTTTGAATTTGATGCGGTTAACTCGTTATGCAATCAAGGGACCTATACGGCAAACTGTTGCCGTTGAATCTGAAATAGTACAACAACGAATTTCAGCTTTAAACATTGATGGTAAACAGTTGTTTCAAATCTTTTGTTTTTCTATTTTAAAACAAACCTTTTTTTCAGTAGTCTATCTTCATAATGCTTATTGAATGAGTGAACTCTGTTTTTTACGGATTTATACTTGGAAATTTATTTGGGGATATTAGACTGGTTTGCTTACTTAAAAAAATATACGTCTTCTGTTAACCCGTTTCTCGTACATATGCTATAATTGTTTTTTATGTGTATCAAACATGCACTTTTCATATTTAGATGCTGATGGGGACTTATTGCATATAGATATGAGGATTGATATTCGAAGTTTAAGACAAGTAAATTTGGTAACCCGATTCCATACAAGTTTAAACCCTGCATTTATGCAGGTTTTTACCGACAGTAATGGATTACAGGTTATTTAAATTAATTGAATTTTTTTCAACAGATAGCAGCCTCAGTTTTGCTGCCTAAACTGTAAAATACAAAATTTAGTTGTTAAGACGTCAGTTTTATTCTTCACTGTCATTACCAGCTAACTATTATCCGATGCCAACTGCAGTCGTTCTTCAAGACTTAAATCGACGTATAACAATAGTAAGTGATGTTGAACACGGAGCGACAGGTTCTGGTGATAGTGGCATTGAAATAATGCTTGGTATTGCACTTTTTTGAGTTGTTTTAGTTTTGCATATGTTATATATCACGTGAGGGTGGAAACCAAGGGGGTTATTTAAAGTAGAAGACAAACGATAAACGTAGAACAACAACAGAACAGAACTCAAAACTTTCAGGCGATAGAGGAGCTCTTATATAGAGACCTCTAGCAGACATAGATCAAAAAATACTCACCAAAGGTTAGGGCTTACATTTGCACTAAGGCAAGTATAATGATCTGTACCGAATGGATGTATTAAGACAAATATAACAGCATAGTTTATATTTCTTAACCTATGGTCACTTCTGATAATAATTTAAGTGTTCAAACTACTATATCTTAGCAGAACAACTGAAAAACCAATTTGTTCACTATGGATTTTGCAGTCTTGTGATGCATTATCGGTCTTAATTGTTACAGATCGCATTTTACTTCACGATGACGGTAAAGGTCTTGGTAGCATAGAAGATGGTATACCAAACGATATGTTACCTGTAAAAATCGGTTTTACAGTTATAGCAGAGAACATGTCCACTAATTCAAGTTTAAATATGGTTAGTTTTGACCTTTATCATCAAAAATCGATTTCAACAAGTTACAGCTTTTTGCGCTTGAAATACCGATTTTCTATCACAACAAACTTTTATTGAATACTTACAGCAAAGAAGTTTTGCATACCACTCAGTCACCGCTCATCACGCGCTTCAAAGTCGTCTATATCCACCAGTTACATTAATATCAAACGGTTAGATTCTGTCTACCTACACTGTAGACATTCTTTTTAAAGAATATTCAAATTTATCAGAATTTGCATTTCCTAAAAGCCTATTGACGTAAAAATTTTTTAAATAATTATACACTTTTTTCTATTTTTTTATTGGAAACTTAATTGTGCTTTTTTTAGGGATTATAATTCTCATATTTCTACAAATTTTTTAAAAAAATAAAATAAGTATAAAGTTATTAAAAAAAATTTTGGTAAAAATTTGTTTAGATCTTGCAAGTCTTTTGAAAGTTGTCAAAGTTATTGCTTTCTTTGTTGTAGGTTTTGCCAAGGAAATCGCCAGTGAGAACGTTTTGGATTTACCTTGCGACGTTCAAATAATTAGTATCCGCTCTATCTCCACTGATGTACGTATGAAACTTCTTGTGTTGCATCGTTTGGGTACCGACTGTGGTCTGACAACCAAATTTTCTTGCTCAATGGAATCTTTGACTGTACGTGTTTTAGAATTCCTTACTCTAAAACTGAATTTATAAAAAAAATGACAAAAGTCAACCCCAGTTAACCACTAAAGCAACATTTTAATCTTTAATCAAGATATACAAGACATCTTATAGATATCTGTCTAAATTTGTCTGCTAATCGATTCTTTTTTAGATCGCTGTACAAAGTTATCTACAAAAAGTCAAAGTCACTAAAGTTCAGTGGACAAATTTGAGCGGAACGCTAAAGAAAAATGAGAAAATAGACTTAAATCAGTTGTCCATTGAACTAAAACCTATGGAGTTTGCTTCATTGTTTATTTATTTTGATTAATTTTATGTTAGGCCCGGTAAAAATACCTGATCTCTATAGTACAGTTTTTTTGTTACATATTTAAGTTAATAGTAAATGTCGCCAAGTTATAGATTTATTCTATATTAAGTTATCAAATTGTTTCTTTAAAAATGTAGAAGACGTGTAATCATCACTTCAGTTGTAGGTATTTTGCCTTTCCTTCTATCAGCAGTATTTCTTCTTCAAATTTATTCTGCTGATTATAACGGGGTTTACGGTATTGTAACATTTTTTCCTTTTACTAAAAATACCGTATATTGTTCAGTTCCGGTTTTATAAATCTGTTGAAACCAATGAAATTTGATTTTCTAATTTTGTCCTCAAATGTTCTTTCGTATTTATCAAAACTGTGATCTATAAATATTTTATAAATTAGCGTACAAGTATCTTAACTAGTGTCTTTCGTTTCTTTTTCAGTCTATTCTCAGTTTTATCAGTTTATATAGTCAGTTGAATACTCTTCGCTCGTCACTTGTTTAAATTTGACCCAAGTTTTTATGCGTTACTATGTTTGCCATGTATACCAATCTATTTTCTTTCACTTGTATTCTGTGTTCGAACTTGTTGCTGTTATAATAATACTCGTTTTCATTTGACTTATTTTTATAAATATTATAAATTAAGTCTTTTTCTGTAATTTTTTGTCAATATTTAGTTATAAGGTGTTGCTAATTCCTCCTTTTTTCTTTTTCTTTTTTTTGCCAATTTTTTTTTCCTTTGACCGACGTCTGGGCTGTTGCCACTTCTGACTAGTCGTATACCTGTAGAGATTTATTGGTTTTAAAATGAAAAAAAGTCACACTCTTGGTGGTGAAATTATTAAATATTTCTCAAAATGAAAAAAAAATAAACAAGTAAACTTTTCTTTGTTGTTTTTTTCATTGCATATTATTTGCATATCAATGGACACTAACTGATGTTCAACAGTTTTTCACACTGTTGGTACATCACTAATTCGAGCTCGTTTTTTATTTCCTTAACTGTACTTAACTGTACACAAAATTGGTTTAATAATTTTTGGTTATTTGCCTATTCAGTCAATCGTTTTTATACTTGTATTTGACGCATGGAAATGAATAATATTTTGTATATAAAGATATATAAAGATAACTAGTAGTAGAAAAAAATAATGCGAAATGACACTTCTAAAAGCAAAAAATAAATTATCGATAACTAAGAAAGTTTTGAAAAAGAAACAAGTTTTTGAACTCTTTTTTTCATTGTCACATATTAATTTCTACCTACAAAATGCAAATGGTTTATTTTACTTTAACTACGTTTTTCAATTTCTCAAGCCTTAGAAATCTTAATAGAAATTCAGTTGACATCGCTGAGTTCGTCTTGGTCGTTTCTTCAGTGACAGATTTAGGAAAATGAAAAGTGCAACATCATAACACGTGGTATCGGCAACGACTTGGAAGCAGAAAAAATGATAAAGCAAGACATGTCAAAAATACGTAAGTTTTCTGGTGCTAATCCAGTTGAACAAAAAAATAGAAAATTATTTGAACCTATCGGGAAACACTAAGATGGCAGCGGGGGTAACTAGCGGGTTCCGGAACGCTTCTGTGGTTGCTTCATTCATAATCAGCTTTTGTTGTTCCTCCAGTTTTCTCTTGTTCAAAAGACACCCCATTTATCATCTAACGTTAATTTCTTTTTTGACACTAAATGTTAGACTGCTTCAAATAGTAAATGCGAATAAGCGAATACTAAGAGGAATACTTCATAATCGGTTTAAAATAACGGTAATTGGGATCATCAAACTGTGCAAATGCAACATATGGGTCTTCTGACTTTCTTTTTAAAAGGAAGTAGGAATAAAGCATGTTATCGCCATTTTGCTTATAGATAATAAGAGCACTGAGGGGTTGTCAATTCATTTACATTTCCGGATTTATCTCTAGATGCTCCTAATTTCAAGCTGTTATTGTAGTCGGCTGCATAAAACCAGAGCACACAACAGTGTTAAACATTTTTAATAAGACAGCGCATCGTATTTTTCATTATATGAGATTATAGATACCAGTAATATCGTAATATGTCAGTGGATATATGAGTTTCATGCAACTGCCGAGATAAGTCACATAAAGTTTGCTGATTTTATAATAAAAAGTATGGTGGATAGCAAATACGTAATTGCATCAATTTCTAAACTTATGTTTAGAATAAACTGGCATTTAACTTTTCTAGTCATATTGAAATCACAGATGGTTGTTGAAAACGTAACTTGAGTTGACCACGTCATTTCAATTTGCTTGATTTACATCTCATTTTTCTAAATTTTTTTACAGATACATTATGACGTGCTTAGAATATGTTGGTCATATACAGGTTAGTTTTTTTAATAAAGTTAAAAAAGATTGTCTGGAAAGACATTGAGAAAACTGCGAACTGCAGTCGTGTTTATAAAATATCAGTTAGTTGTTTAACAAAAGAAAAAAATTACTAACTGTTATGATAATTAATTCTGGGTAGTGGTTTACTCTAGATAGTTGTTAAAGTCTTTTTGTTGTTCTGGTTAAGAACAGTTTCATATTGACTACTGAAACAAAATAATGCCGGGAATTCTTGCACAGCTGTTTCTCCTGTTCAATAAGACCGTTTTGGTGCTAAAACGTCAGTGATGTAACCTCTAAAATGCAGTTGCATTGTCCTCTTTAAAAACTGCATGTTTAGTGTTTATACAATAAGACTGTAAATCTTCATCGTTTCTTGTAAATTATAATTTCAAAACTACCAACAGCACTGAAAGTGCACTATAAAAATTTTATGATTTTATAATCGATATAGCAAGCAGGCCACTTTCTACTTTGCTTTTTGATTGGTTTTCTTTAAATTCTGTCGACTGGTAAAGTTTGATCTTTATCGTACAAAACAAAAAGAAAAATCTTATCATTTTAATTTAGCAGCGTTGCCACTGTCTTGAAGTTGCGGGTTTTGACCCTGTTTTCCTCACTTTATTTCAGATATTTTTTTTAACTCATTCTTCTTTTTCATTAAAAACTAAAAGCTGTTAGAGTATTTTTTTATATGCTACCAATTAGCTTTAATCTTGGCTGCGTAAAGTAAGAAGCGCTTACCTATTTTCAGCTGTTTTCTTGTTTTCTCATATGCTTTTTGTCACAAATATCAAAAAGTTTTTTAAATTTTGAATATACTCTTTTGTTTTTTTTTTTCGAAAGAACATTTTTCGTATATTTAGCTTCTTTTCAAAAGTTTAATATTTTTCTGTCTTTTATACAGCTACAGTTAAATGGAAGGGCAAAATTTTCGATATTGACAAACAAACCTTGACATTCTCTATCTGCAGAAAACTTTGAGGCACTGCAGATTCAAAATTACCACACCACAGCGAATTTAAAGCATCAAGATTAGAAATTTATAGAAAGCATATTTTACAGACAAGTAGCCAACAAACAGATTTATCAATATTTTTTATTTCTTAACTTTACTTGACAAGTACATCGACGTTTCATGCGAAATATTTTGCTTTTAAATAACGTAACTACAAACAAGTAAAAGTAGGCACTTCTGGAGTGTTCCGCCTCGAGCCTAGCAATACAAATCTTACTTTATAGTGCAAAATTTTAACTGTTACTTAAGTGAATCATTTGTTACATTTTACCTTCCTCTTCTCTGTCATCACTAATCCACCTCTTACAAACGGTGACCACTTTGTCGCTCTAAAATGATGCGGGCAACTTGTTTTATTCGTAGGAATCAAGTTGGGGCATTCATAATTTGAAGTTCCCGTTACTTTTGTAACACCATCTCCAACTAGTTAAATACCTAAACCTCATTGGTAAAAAATTACAGCTTCACAACATATCAAAAAAAAGTAGAAATTTTTGATTTTTTGACAATTTTATTGAAATGATTCAGAATATTTCTTGTATTACCTGCAACCCAACGATCCTCAAAAGTAAAAAATTAAGCAAAAAATTCACCGGTATCTATAGATATCGTCATCTTTCGTTTTATGGCAAAAACCATTCTGAACATTATAAGGAATAGTAGCTTATCTTGACAATTTCTAACTTTTTTTTTGTAAAATTCGTCGTTTTGACGATTACTCTCACCTACAAAACCAGGAGTTTTCCAATTCAAAAAAAAATTAAAATGTTCTGATCTATGTAAAATTTTCACGGCTTATAACAGATTGAAGGTGATCGTAGTAAAATAAAAATTAAACCACGAGCTTTTAAGATAAACAGAAAAAATTTTTTTTAGAAAAAAGCCAACAAGCTGACGTTCCACCGCTTTTTTATCACTTTCTGCTTCTGCTTTTTAATAAGACCAGCTTTTGATTCAAAAAAATTCATTTTTTAAAGCTGCAAGGATAACTCAAGATTAGCAAGAATGAGCACTTCAAAATAATCTGCCTCCTATTTAGTGTTAAAAGTTGTATTTTTCACATAAAATTTTCAGTTAGTTTTGAGGCTGATCATTTGTTAAGCTCGTCTCCTCGCCCTTCTCTGACTGCCACTTTCACCTCTGACAAAACACTGAACATTTAATTATTTTTAAAAATTTCTTTGAAATATCTGCTTATTTATGAAGAGGTTAATGAATATGCTGATTCAAAATGTTAGTTACTCTTCGTAGCAGCACCTTCAAGCAACAAAGTGAATACGCTATTTCACTAAAATGTTACAGCATTACCACAGCATAATATAGAAAAATAAAACATATTAAGTGTAATCTTTTTAAATTTTCTACTTTTCTATCACTATTTTTAAAAAGCTCTGAAATAACTTTTTTTTTTCACTTGCAACTAGATAACTTTTACTTGTCAATTTTTCTAATCTTCTTGTTTGTACTGCTTTATAGTTTTTTAAGCGGAACTGCTCTTCCAGACGTGAATCAACTAAAATTCTTTATTCTTTATATACTTTTATAGCAGTATACCGCGTAAAATAGTAAACATCGTTTTCTGCTTTCTAATCTGCCAAAAATTTTTAGTGATACCATCTGCT